CACTGCATCGGTCCTGCGATAAAACACCCTAGGGCCCTTCGGAGGGCCCAAAAAATTACGAAAACCGAAGCTTACCGGGCGGTGGTGCTCTCGGGTGCGGCGGCTCTCCCGGCGAGGTTCGTGTTTTGGTGATTTGGCTCTGATCAACCTGTAGAGAAAAGAATGGTGATTACGGTGATATAAAAATTGTATCAAACGGAGGCCGGGAAGAGCCTCATCGGAGGCAAAAACCGAGGAGGGGCGCGGCGGCGCCGCTGGGTTTTGACCGTGTTTTCCGGCCGTTTGGCCGGGATTTTGGCTCCAATTTGGCCACAGGGGAACTCAGCATTGAAAAACGAGCCGGGGGTATGAAATTTACCTCGATCGGCGGTTGAAAAACTCCCCGGTGCGGCGGCGGGTGGCGGCGGCCAGCTCCTCTTGCGTCTGGTTCGTCTTCTCCGGCGAGGGCAGGCGGCTAGGGTTTTTGTGGTCAGGTGTGGGGGTTTTATTTATACCATTTTATCTTTTAATCACAGCCGTCCATCTTAATTAAATATGGGCCGTTCGTACTTGATTGAATCTGGGCCGTCCGTGCACACACTTGATCTGGGCCGTCTGTGCGCGCGGGGACGTATCTGGGCAGTCCGATCGTGCGCACGCGGATCGCCCACGTGGCCCGTTCCCGGGTCGAGTGGTCTTGCCACGCGGCAGGTCCTGGTTGGCCAGGGCTGCTGACTGGGCCGCTGACGTGGCGTTGACGGGGTGCAATTTTTCTAAATTGCGTTTTGACCATCGGTTTCCGATTTTCTTTTCAAAAATACCCCCAGAATCCAAATTTGCACCCCTTTTTCCCAAAATCAATTTCAATTAAATCCAAATAATATTTTTACCTAATTTTATCATTATTATTATTTTATTTTTATTAAATTAAATTAATATTAAATTAAATAAATCAATTAAAATTCAAAAATTATAAAATAAACTAAATAAAAAAAATTAATAATAATAATAATAAAAATTATAAAATTAATGGGCGTTACATATGATACATTAATAAAGCGCCTATGTGCATGTTTTTTATAAAAACTTTTACTATTTTAATAAACATTTGTGCTACTAATAAAATTTTTGTGAATAAGTCATATGGTTAATTATATGCTAAATTCTCCTTTATATGAGGAGAAAATTTACCTATGTGTTTATTTTGTCATTTATATATCGTTTGTTAGATTATTTGTGATTTTATTTAATGTAACAAATGTAAGAAAATTCGAATTTATCACTATAATTATAGTGTGTTTAAACTATACGAATATGGAAGTGCTTTTGCTACATATTCTTTTTAGAACATTGGTGAAATCACAAATAAGATAGGTACTACTCATTCAAGGCTTGCAAGCTTCTTTTATTGTTGGAAATATGTTAACCGTAAATCAATCATTTGAGTAATAACGGACTTCTATATAAAATTTTATTAAATTATTTAATTTTATAAAATTTTTGTTGTTTGTTTAACTAGTACTAATAACAAGATTACTCTTTTATCATATGCTACTTTTTCATATTTAACTTTAATAATATGATAAAATCTAACAAATAGTGTAATAAATTTATAGTTGATTTGGTTTACAAAGTCAAAATCACAAATAATCTATAATATCATTAATAAATATGATGTCATAAAATTTATCCAAATACTTAATATAATTAAGTCCATCTATAGATGAGTGTCGATCTCATATTTTAACCAATATTAGTTAAAAAAAAAATATTATAAAAAATGTATATATTCTTATTGAAATAAAATAGACTATATTAACGTGGCATAATATTTTACATAAAGTGGTATGATACAAAATAATCATTAAACTTGATTGCTCGGTATACTAAGTATATGGAAGCATATTGCACTTTGATATTAAAAGATTATGATGTCTTTGATAAATTATAATTAAAGTATTTATTGAGTATAACGTGAAATGTATATAAATAAATAAATAACATTTGTAAATTCATTATTTCTAATATTAATAAAAGAAAATAATCTTTCTTATATAAACCTTAATAGAAGCAGTCATGTAAATTAAAAATTAAACAATAATTTAAGAATATTTATTTTATATAATATAATGCTCTTATATAAAGTTGACAATTATAGGCTAAATTGTAGCCATCCTATACACATTTTATAGCCATGTGTGGTTATCTAAAAATTGTTGGTTGTTCACAAGTTAGGCAGCGGGAAGCAACTGGGACCTTTGATAGTACGAAACGACATCTACAGGAGAACAAAAACGGCAAGTCATTAAAACGACATCGTTTTACTGGAACCCCACCCCCCCCCGACTTTTCTTTCTCTTCTAGGAACCATCGGACAGGACATCATGGCAACTGGCAACTGGTGTAGTGGAAGGTAGTTTGCAAAATCAGCTAGGCGTTTGTTTGGCCTTTCACTACCTCGACGAGTCCGTCACTCTCTTCAACAACCCAAAAAACCCCTTCACTCTCAGTTTTATTTATTTGACTAAGCCCCACCCTCCCTTTTTCTTTCTTAATTCCCGTTTCCCCATCAAAATATCTCCTTCCTTTCTCACCAACCTCATCCATGGAAGCCTCACCAGCTCTTTCCCGCATAGGCCTAGCGGGACTGGCCGTCATGGGCCAGAACCTCGCCCTTAACATAGCCGAAAAGGGTTTCCCTATCTCCGTCTACAATCGTACCACATCCAAGGTTGACGAGACACTCGACCGGGCTCACCTGGAAGGCCAACTCCCACTCTCCGGCCATTACTCCCCTCGTGATTTCGTCCTCTCTCTGCAACGACCCAGATCTGTTATCATCCTTGTCAAGGCTGGATCCCCTGTTGACCAGACCATCGCCGCGCTTTCCGAGCATATGGAAGCTGGGGATTGTATCATCGATGGTGGTAACGAGTGGTACCAGAATACGGAGCGCCGGATCCAGGAGGTTAACCCCAAGGGTCTACTTTATCTCGGTATGGGTGTCTCCGGTGGCGAGGAAGGTGCTCGCAATGGTCCTTCGCTAATGCCGGGTGGTTCATTTCAGGCGTATAATAACATCAAGGATATACTCGAGAAGGTCGCTGCTCAAGTCGAGGATGGACCCTGTGTCACCTACATCGGGGAAGGGGGGTCTGGAAACTTCGTTAAAATGGTCCATAACGGCATCGAGTATGGCGATATGCAGCTCATTTCCGAGGCCTATGATGTATTGAAAAACGTCGGCGGCTTGTCCAATCCCGAATTGGCCGAGATTTTTGCCGAGTGGAACAGAGGAGAACTCGAGAGTTTCCTGATTGAGATAACATCCGATATCTTTCGAGTCAAGGATGAACACGGAGACGGGGAGTTGGTAGATAAGATTTTGGACAAAACCGGGATGAAGGGTACTGGGAAGTGGACGGTGCAGCAGGCCGCAGAGCTGTCCGTGGCGGCTCCAACAATTGCAGCCTCATTGGATTGTCGATACCTAAGTGGGTTGAAAGAGGAGCGCGAGACCGCTGCTGAGGTTTTGAAGGAGGCCGGGTTGAAGGAAGAAGTGGGGGCTGTAGCGCGTGGAATTGATAAGAAAAGGTTGATTGATGATGTGAGGCAGGCCCTATACGCATCCAAGATTTGTAGTTATGCTCAAGGGATGAACTTGTTGAGGGCCAAGAGTGTAGAGAGGGGATGGAACTTGAATTTGGGGGAGCTGGCAAGGATTTGGAAAGGTGGGTGTATCATCAGGGCCGTGTTTTTGGACAGGATTAAGAAAGCTTATCAAAGAAACCCCAATTTGGCGAGCTTGGTTGTAGACCCGGAGTTTGCGAGAGAGATGGTGCAGAGGCAAGCGGCATGGAGGAGAGTTGTGGGGTTGGCTATTTCAGCTGGTATCAGCACTCCTGGGATGTGCGCCAGTCTTGCTTATTTTGACACCTATAGACGTGCAAGGCTCCCAGCCAATCTTGTCCAGGCGCAAAGGGACTTGTTTGGAGCGCATACCTATGAGAGGATTGATCGTCCGGGGTCGTTTCATACTGAATGGACTAAGCTTGCCAGGAAGAGCAATGCTGGCGTTGGTGCATTCAACTGAGCCATTTTTCTGCTTCTCAACTTGATAATCTTTAAGTTTCAATTGAGTTTTGGTAATGTTTCCATCTGAACTAGAATTATATTTGGTCATTGAGAATTTAAAGTTCGGGCATAGCCATCATTGTTTAGCTTTGCTTATGGTCTTAATAAGAAATGCATGCCTTTTGGGTTCTATCACTTGATTGTCTTATTACTATTTGATGTTCCCCTCTTATCTCATGTAGTTAGATAAAACCCTTGTCCAATATCTGGATGGAAGTAAGTGTAGCTTAGAAATAAGCTAGGTATTTTCATGCTTGGGATGCTAATATGAAAAATTTAGTTACCTTGTGGTAGTGAAAAGAGGTTCTTCTTGTTCTTGCACTGCCTTGTACGTTCTCTTATATTACCTGTCATAAGTTTGAGCTTCTACGGGAGTTTTTACACATTTATTACAGGAATATTTTGGGCTGAGTTTCAGTCAATTGTTCATTTTAAAATTGTTAGGGGAACAGGGTGCTGTACTGGCATAATTTCACAAACCATGATCAGTATATGCTTAATGCAGAATTAAATCTGATCTCTCAAAAACATTTAAAGAAAGATGTTTTGATGTTTCTGCATTGAATGGCAAACACAGAAGCTTTAAACTTTTGTCAAAAGGGAGTTGGACATACAAGCTTTTAATTACTGTTTTGGTGCATTTCTACTTGGAAGGTGATTCTTAAGCATTCAAGGAGTTCTTAGAGTTGCATTACTTTATGAATGAGCAAAGGCTGTGTAAGGTGAAGATAATATTAAAATGATAAAGAAAAGCAGACTTCGAATAGAATTTTACGTGAAGTTGAAATCTTGAAGTATGTTATTCTAATTTCACATGAACAAATTTTTTGTTGTTTTAAGAAGGATTTCCATTATTTTCTAGTTGAATAAGTTTGAATTTACAAATAATTTCTACAAAAATTTAAATTTATTTCAATATTACGTAAAGAATAGAGTCCAGCTAGTCCTTAATAAGAGTGAACAATGGAATCATGGAATGCTAATTTCGTTACGGCAGTTTTGAGGTGTTTACTTTTTATGAACTATGCACTTCTCTTCTCTCTTTACGGATGCAAGCATGGATTAGATGTCTGTATTAGGAGGTTATGTTCTTATTTTGAAAGAATTGTATTATAATTAAATCACCTCTATTTCCCTCTTAGTTAATATCTTGAATAAATTTTGAGTGCGTGTGGAACTCATTTCTAAATTTATATTTGTTTTAACTAGAAAAAGTACAAATTCTACTAAGATGATAAAAATTGAGCTCATATGATGGTCCACTAAGTATTGTTGTTTGTATTGGTTGAGTGAGCACAAAAAACTTCTCTGTGTTGCTCATGACTTTCAAAGACTTGTGCCTTCTGTCAGCACATTTCCTTAGACTTGCATACTCTTTCTATACCTTTACAAGACCTGCACTTGATATGAGGAGTAAACCAATAATATTTTTGAAAATGATCAGTTTTCTTAGTGTTTGGGCATGGAGAAAATTTGATCTTCTCGTCTCCTTTGTCCTTACCATCTTCTTGTTTCTCATTTTTCCTTATGCTCTCTTCCTATTTTCTCTTTTGAGTCTTGCGTTTCCCTTTGTGTTTCATCACAAAAACACTTACGGTACCATTCAACTTTACTGTTCTGCAACTAACTACAGGTAAAAAATTATTTGAGTAGTTTAAGAGATTGCTTCGAACTTATCAGAAAGACTTTGTGGCACCTTTTTTTTATAACTCTTTTATCTGCCGGTTCTTTTCTAGGTAATCTCACTTGACTCACCTCGTTCATAACCATTATAAGTGAACTCCTTCACAGTTTTATAATCACTTATAAATTTGCTTTTTTCTTTTCAGTTCCTTAAAATTCTTCCTCGATTTTATTCCAAGCAAGACATCTTTCTTTTGAAAATAGTTTTAGACAGAACTGATTAAATCAAAAGAAATAACCTTCAATTTTTGGTCATTTCCTCTGTATAATGTTTAATTTTGAATCACGGTTAGGTTGGTTCTCAAGAGAGGAGAATCCTCTCCTACTTCAATGGCCTCCCATACATCCAACGTGTTTAGAAGAACTTTCATCCTAACACCCAAAGCTGATAGTCATCTTCATTGAAAAAAGGTGGTGCAGTTGATCCTGGACCTTTAAAGCCCATCAGTAAGTTTTTTGGTACTTCGTTAAATAAGTTTTCTAGTAGAAAAATTCCTTTAGTCCATCTAAGAGCTTAACAACTTTAGTAACAGTTGGTACTTTTTTTTTTTCTACAAAAAAGGGAGAAAAATAAAGAAGCCAGTAACAACCTGTTAATCGAGCTTATGCAGTATCACAGTGGTCTAGGGTTGTTCAGGTAAAGATAAGAAATTAACTCATCAGGGGACTGTCTCATTCTAATGTATCCATCCGGGATGCAGTGAGTTCCATGAGCCAGTAAAATAGTGCATGTGTTGTTATCACAACTAAAAAAAGAGAAGAAACTGAAGCAAAAAACTGAACTTTCTCCATTGAATTTGTCTTAAATATAAAAATTTAGGTACTTGTTTACCACAGATAATGCTTCCTAAAGAAAAAGGAAAAATTAATTTGTCTTGCTCTCTAAGTAATATGTAGATGACATATGATTTCCATAACAAGTTTCTTCACTATTATAAATCTTAAATCACCTAATTAATCAAAGAACAAAAATCTACAATATGGATATGAAAGCAAGAACAAGATTTGACAGCAAAAGTGTCAAACTTTTGACACAACCTGATTCTTCTACCGGGGTTAGATGCTGTAAAGCTGTGGATAGTTGTTTTCTTCCTACTCATTTGAATAAAGTCATCATATTTCCCATTTCGAAAGTGGAAAATCCTATGGAAAGCTGTAAATCAAGTCAGATACATTGAGAGGTCTTGGGTTTTCAGTGTTCATATTCAAAACTAAACGTCAAATTCAGTAGTTTGTGAGTGAAGGAGAAATAGCAACTGCAATATACACAAATGAAGCAGAGTAAAAAAAAATGAAAAATTAAAGGTTAAGGAAATATTCCATTTTCAAGCACTGGTTGAGTTCTTGTTACAGTTGCAGAGGGCATTTTACTGGTACCAATCCATCTGCTATCAAAAACCAGACCTTCATCAGCTTGTCTTTCCATTATCTGAATCTTCTTCGTCTTCAAAAGTCTGAGAACTTTCATCCCCAAATAACCAATCAAAATCAACCCACCAAATCCTATCACCCCCAAGTACCACACCACCTTCTTCTTCTTATTCTTCAGTGGAGCAACAATGGAGAAATATCCATCACTCCATCCGTAACACACGTTGGAAAACTTCAACTCGCTAAGCTCAAATGTACCGTTGTTGTAAACAGCTACACACTTTGCCTTTGATAAACTCATTCCATCAGGAAATCTCAGATCAGAAAACTTAATCAATATTGGCTTCCATTTTGTACGGACACTGATTCTTGTCATGCTCTTAGTGTCTGCCGTTACATTTGATACATCAAAAACCATGAAACCAACAAAATAAGTGATAAGCGAATAACCTGGAACGTTGTAGTAAAGAGAAGACCAGTTGCCCAATTGTTGATAGACTATGGCTAGCCTCCTCACATAAGGAACTGAAAAGGTTGTTGATGGGAAGTGAAGATTGTTGAACTTGGCTCCAATCTTCCACAGTCTCCGGCTCCTCAATCTTAAAATGGAAACTTCCATGCCCGAAAGATTAGCTGGAAGAATTGCTCTGTAGATAGAACCCGTGTGAGGCCGGTGGTGGTGCCAGACCAAGGCTTTGAAGGCAAAATTCTCAACTTGTTCATCTAGTATACCAGCAACATTGTTATTTAGACTGTATACAAAAGACCAAGAACAAAAAGCCACCACAACCCAGATGAAGTTATATGTCATTTCAAGTTTCAGCTGATGAAACTTGCTTGTGTGTTTGTATACATGCATATGTATGGTTCAACAAAATAAGAGTCCTTTTTCTGGTCGTCTGAAAGATGAATGCTTTACACGCATGATCAGAAATGGACCCAAGACAAAAAGAAAAGTTATTCTTTTCCAACGGCTATTATATCACATTTCCATTTGAATTTTGTCAATATATAAAGTGATATTTTTGTATGTAATTATGAACTACTTGTATGATTACTTGCCTAAAATCACGCTTAAAATAAACCTTTTGGGAATTGACTTCGATGTGAGTTAAGTTCTATACCCAGCACTGGAAGATGATGTATACAGCTAAATGTTGATCATAATTATTGTCATTGCCAGATTGAGGTAAGAAGGAAAAGACGAAATAATTACTGGTAATGATAACATGGGTTTAATTGCTCCTCCATCTTTGCGAGGTAATTGAGCATGTTGCATCATTGATTTTACCCCTTTTGATGGATGCACATCACAAATACTCGTGATACATTTTCTAATCAATATCTATCTCAAGCATTTAAATGAAAATATTAATTAAATCTTTATACGGTGGAGAAAAGTTGTTATTTCCTGTTCCAAAAACAATTAAAGCAACCAAATGTAGGCTCATCAACCAAGCTCAAAACTCACCAGACAAAAGTGCTCAACCTGCAAGTCATAAAAAGGATGGAACTCTGGATTCCGTCATTTCCAAGTTGAAGCACTGAACAAATGTTGGAACATAACATTAGGAAATAAGTACAACTAAATTCATTATTTTTTAAGAAATAACAATTTTAAGTAGAAAAAGAAGATGTATCTTTGAGAAAAAGAATATTTAACTGAAGAGGAAGAAGAAGATGAAAGAATAAGTAACTTGAAGGGAGAAAGAAATCACTGTATAAAAAGAGGATTAAGAGGAGACGAAAAACAAGTAAATGCTGAGGAAAGAGAAGTAACTAAAGAAGAAGAATATACTAATTAAAGATTAATTTTAATGAACCAATTTTAATAAGTTAAGCCAACTCCTCCCATGAATGAAGCTTTGCCTCTCCAGGGACTTACCCTCATCTCCCTTTTGGCATCTCCTTCCTTCTTCAATCTCTTTCTTCTCTCCTTTGGCTTTGTCTCTTATTGATGCATAACCTAAGATTAACACTTAATTTGAATTTACACATAGCACAATTAGTAATTAAAACTTAAATCTAAACAAATCTTCTCTACTTAATTTACAATTAACTTGTAATTGAAATAAGAAAAAAAAAAAATTTAATTAAAATATCACAAGAAAATCTTGATAAGTTAGAAATTTATTCTTAATATAACAAAAATATTAAAAAAAGATAATATTTGAAAGAAATTATTTGTCAGTAACATAATTAAAATAAATAAATAAATATAAGAGAGTTTTATAATGAAGATGTCACACTAATTCAATCCTTAAAAAGAAATAGGAAATAGTTCTAACACTTGTACATATACATATCATGTATATATTAAGATTAAGATATAATATGATACTAAAATCCAATCCTACTAGGAAAAAGAATAACAAATCTACTTGGGTTAATGAATCCCACATGGAAACCAATTTTCACCTTAGGCTAATTAATCATAATTAAAAACTTAATTCTTAACCAATAGAAATATGCCAACTCATTAATAAAAGCACATGCACGGCACATGACTACCTAATTAATTAATTCGGCTTTATTCTTCATAAATTTGAACAAAGAATTTTGACCCAATAATTTACAGAAGATTAATGGGCTCCTTTCTCTATGGGACGTAGTGAATCCCACCCACTTCTTTCGTGCCTCTCTCAGTCCAAACCTTCTTTCATCATTGATCCATTCTTGAACATAAAAGCTTAAAAGACTTGCTCGAGTCTCTCGACTAGTGATATAGTGAATGACCTACTTAACAGTTCGACCCATGTATATCTAAAGTTATGTTCACAATACTATTGTTTTGCATTTACATTATGTTTCTTGTCTTGATTTCTATCATTCTCCCATCCCTTTATCGAATCTAAACTTACATCAAAAGTAGAAATGCAAAAACAATTGAAGTAGCAGACACAAAGTACTCACTAGGTAAGTCTATCTCTGAGCATTACTATTAATGCATTCTAGGACTTGAAATGAATCATCACCTCTTAGCATTCAATTTGTATTTCATTTATTTAAAAAATCTCTCTTTCATTTTATAAATCACTTTTCAAGATCGACGTGTCTTTTATACATTTTCTTAATCAATTCCACTTTCTTTTATTCTTCTAATTTAATAAATATCTTATATGGGTAAAAACATCAGATTAAAAAAGAGTCAGTGGTTTAAAACCATATACCAATAATAAAAAATTTATTGAAAAATGAATATTATTATTATAAATAAACTCAACCAATGGTAAACAATTTTTTTAAATTAAAAATTTTCACAAACAATGACAAATAAAAAATATTGTAAAATTTTATTTATCACTTCGAATTGATTATATACTTATGAATAATAAATAATAAAAAAAACAATAATTAGTACTCAATTTATTACACAAAACATGTCAAAAGTGACTCAAAAACTTTTTATCTCTATTATTAATAATTATTTTAAAAATACCATACAAAAAAAATTAGATTTGTTGCATCGTTCATTTTATGATAAACAATAAAATGAATCTATCTACAACAACAAATATATTTTTCTATTTCTTTTTTAGTCCTAAATAATTCTAAAATAGAGTTCACAGATGTATCAATTTAAGGTGTAAGTATATAAACCATGGGGTAAAAATTTAGATTCTTGTTCGGCTACATCCAATACATTTAGCACAAATTTTGTCATCATTTTTTCTTTTTTTTTTTTTTTTTTTTTTCATATAGTATGTACTTAATGCAAAATATCAAAAGCCTTGCCTATCCCCAAAATGACCCCTAAGTCCTCCACTATGAGTTATGTGCATCTTCTCTCTCTTTTTCTCCAGTCACGCTCTATAACTTGCTTTCACACTATTTCTAATCTATCTCTTGACTGCAATCTTTAGAAATCGTTGACTCATCTCTTTCGTTTCTCTTTCCGCCATAGGAAGGTGGGATAGGGCCATGGATTTTGGGTTGTTGATAATTAAATTAAAATAGCATAAGTTGTATAAAAGTTAATCTCGATCATACTTTGTTTTATTTTTATTACAAAGTAAAAATTCCATCTGTCCAGTTTTGAAGCTCAAGCACCCATCTATATATATGTAGAGGAGAGAGAGAGAGAGAGAGAGAAGCCTTAGTGGTTGAGGAAGGTGGGGATGGATGGAGCCATGAGACGTTCGTGGTTTGAAATGGAAGGGATTAGATTTTCAGATGAAGCTGATTGACAATATCATCCCCAGAGTACACTGTACTTTGTTGAAGCCATCGCCATTGAAATAATGACACAATACAATCAAAACTTATGAAATTTTAGTACCTCTAAATAGACCCGTCACCAGAAGAAAAAAAGAAACCACTATATAGTTCATTTTGAAGAAGAAGGTTAAATGACCCCACGATACTTCAACTTAATTTTTGACACAGTTTATTATGATCCCACTTTATTTACACGCAACTGACATTCGTCAATGCTGGGCAACCTGCTTTTATTCTCATGAAAAAAATAACCATTTTCCAGAAAACAAGAGACAAAATCAATCAAAACATTCCAGTCTTCAAAAGATCAATCAAGAATTGGAAGTGCCACAATTGCTCTACTTTCATTGTGTGTATGGTGTATAGAAGACTTAACATTCTTCTTTTCAGTATTCTGAAATATTTATCATGTTATATTACCATGCATCATCAGTTGAGAAACCTAAAGAATAACTATAGGCGAACATCATATACGCCTATAACCATAAAGGGACTTGTCAACCAAATTTTGTTACAAACTATAGACAGAAACATCTGTTACTTGATAGTGAGCTCAGCCCTCAGATGAAGTATTCCATTGATAAAATATAAGCTATCATCTGCCATAAATGTTGTCCATGGTAAACCAAATAGATTCCGGTACCCAACAGCCTTTCCTCCGGTGAATGTATAGTTTCCTTTATATTTGCTTGCATACTCTTCCGTTGGCCTTAATCTTGCTGCAAATTCGTAGTCAACAGTAAAAGCCACTGATCCCTTCTCTTGCATCCCCAGAAACAGCCCGAAGCAATGAAAAGAGCTTTGTTGGTCCAAGTTGCAGTGAGCTGACAAGAAAAAACCTTGTCCCCCCAAGTGGAATGCTTGTGAATATACACGTCCTGTTGGAAATAGACGCCCGCATTCCTCACGCTTCAGGTCTAGGTAGACAATGCATTGCTGACGAGGATGTTCAAACTCCACCACCTTGATTGGACGGTACTTGTACACCCTCTCAACAAAGCGTCGATTCGTAGTGTTCTCCTCATCCATTGCAAGGTAGCGTTGCCGGTGTGGTATCTCTGCCTTGAAAAAGAGAGCTTCCAGCACAACCTTAGACACAAGTTCAGGATCAAAATCATTGCAGGTCAAAACCTTCTTCAGCTTTCGACAAGTCATGTATGGAAAACGAATAAGTCGGCCAAGTCGGGACCCAAGAACTTCTCTTCGTTCCTCCAATTTTGGGTAGTGTATACGTGCCCACTTCAGCACAAAGTCATAAACAGTATCCTCTGAAGCTATCTGGAGGTCATCACTAGAAAGTACTGCCTCTAGACCAGCCAAAGGTAAATTAAGCACCTCTTCTGGAAACCTGATAGATAAAAAATAATAATAAGAATCAGTAGTTGAAGTTAGTAAAGGAGAAAAGGCAACGAGTGAAACTATGTTGCCCAAAAGTACATCTCTGCTATATGATACCACCATATAAATACAAAATTTTACTTTAATTCTATTCTCAAGTTTAACTATTGTCATGGACACATGATATAAATACAAAATTTTGCTTTAATTCTATCCTCAAGTTTAATTATTGTCATGGCCACATGATATTGCATTTTCACAGTATCTCTTTTACTAAGGAAAACTTAAAATATAACCAATCTAGGTTATAGAAAAAAGAGGTATTTCAAGAAATAAGACAATTTGATGTAGAGAAGGATGGACTCTTTTGTAGCATAAAACATGGTTAGGGTTTGTTACCTGAGAGAAATACTGCCAAAACACACCAGATCCAAAATTTGCATTAATAGAGCAGGAAACAGGATTAAAACAAAATTAGAAAAAACCTACCTGCCTTGTACAAATAGATCTAATAACACCTAACCAAAAGAAAGTATCATGCTGCTGTCTAAGACTTGTGAAAGTGCTCATTTTCTAAACTTTTTAGTTAATATGATTAATGATCTCTAGCTCCTAAAGGGCTTGCATACGTGAGAAAATCTGCAAATTACCAAATTCTGGTCCATTGGAGACTTCATTTTGAAAGAAGGAAAATAAAAACTTGAACAACAATAATGGTAAGAATATAACAATAATAATATAACAAAGTCCTAATAACTATGGGACTAATAGCTAAGGAAATTCCATTTCTTTAGGAACTTCCCTATTTTTATCTTAAATATTAATAGAAAATTCTCTGTACAAAAACAAGAAACTATGACAATGGCCTTTTAGTTAGATTATCAATAAGTGTGTATTCAGGGGGAAAAAGAAGAAATATAAGGATAGCAAAATACTTACTTTGTCATGTCCTTGTACTTTGTAGCAAGAAATTGCTTCGCTGCATCTGCCAGTGACTGAACAGCTTCAGCCATTAAAACACTAGAAGGAAGATCCAAATAAAGCAAGGCTGACGCAGAGGTCATAGGCAACTCCTGTAATAACCTGCTGCAGTATATCATGCATGTCGCAACCTCAAATTTGTCAGCAACCATCAGCACATCCAGCAAACCAGTAGGGGTGCTTGTTGATAAGGAATTACTATACATGAACTTAAGGAGGTCCATCAAGGCTGCTTCTTCTGCTCAGGAAAAAAGAAAGGAAACAAAACAGTAATAAATCAATTTCACTTAGTTAAAACAAAACAAAGCAGCAATTAAGTATGATTAACATGGTGTTAAGAACATTAAAGAGGACATAACTGATTCCAGGAAACAGCCAAATCATTTAATAGACTTAAAGATCTCAAACTAACTAGCTTTCACATTACCATAAAACAAAAACCAGATCAATTTTCATTTCTATGATAAACTGAAGACACTGGTTTCCAGAAATAGCCAAAAATAGAAATAAAAACATTCTTTTATTACCTGAAGCATGTATCCGAAGAGTTATTTGTCGCTGCTCTGACTCCCTCATTCCATTTGAAAATAACTACAAGAATTACCCAAACTAACAAGTGAAGACAGTGCACAAGGAATAAAGCCAACTAAAGTCACATGAATACGCCTTACCTTATAAAAAAACGGACTCTTTGCTGCTAAAATTGTAGAGCTAACATGTACAGTCTCAACTCTAAGAATTGCCGAACAGTCCATACTCCGGGATGAATAATTTCCATCTGTGGCTCCATCACCTGTAACAGAATCTATCATATCTCAGTATTAGACCACACAACTAACCAGAAATTATTTCCAACCGGAAGTTAGTCCAACAAATTATTGTTGATTGGAAAATAAAGTAATACCAATCCAGTGGCATGCCACAGAGGAGAGATGACTACCTACCTTGTCTATTCATATTCATCCCAGAATCTGGTCGTGATCCCTCAACAATCGCTATTGGGTCCTCCAAGATATTTTCAAATGCCACTCCATCATCTGTATCAGATATATTTACTATCTGCTCCTCATGTTGTGCAAGAACATCCACGGATAATGCTAAAAATAAATTAATTCCAGTAAAAGAAATGACAAATTAACTGAAACTAAATTGAAGCCCTGCAGTGCCAAAGTCTAAAGACAAACTGAAACAAATATATACATATTATTAGTAATAAAATTTTATATATACACTTGAATTATTTTGTGGGAACTCAAACCAAATAGGTCAGAACTCAACAATGAAACATGGAATGTGATTGAGGGAACTGCTAATATGTCCGTTTGGCACTTGTTTGCGTAACTAATGATTCTTGTTCTTCTGAAATCCCTACTCTTTTTTTTGGGGAACTAATCCCTACTTTTTTTTTTTGGGAAACTAATCCCTACTATTCTTTGTTGTATGAAGAGTCTACAATCTGTTATTAATAGTAGTATAAACAAGAAAAAATTGCAGATACCACGTTCCTCTCTGCTCAATTTATAAAAGGTGACATACACTCTCTTATAAAAATAAATTAACGTTGCTGCATGCAATCGTCACCCTTCAACTGATAACACAAACTGATTGGTTTAGAACCTAGGGACACAAAGATCACATATGCAAAATTCCCCGGAAAATCAAACAATAAAGCTAGGCATCGTAGACGAAAATATTTCCTAGGAAATAACATCCTAAATTAAATATATCCATCCACTTATTAGAGTCTAGAGGTCACAACATCAGAATTAACAACAAAACCATAAATTCCCTCTTCTGAATTTCTTACCAATCAAATAAGTGATATATCCGACCATATATTACCGGGATAATACGGTACAAATGCAATTACAAAACTAACCAATCTCTTTCTTCTTTTCCTCTCTGCGCCGCTTACGGTTGCCCGCCCAATGACTGACGCTGCAGCTGGCCTCGCTGTCCAATTTCCTCTCGGGCAAGTCTGGTGTGATCTCAATCCTCAGAACCGCATCAGAAAAGTTTCTGTTGTTGAAAGCAAATGTGAAGTCTGAGTCTGAGGCGGAACCAGATTCAGCGAGCCCGTCCGGCGAGAAGTCAGAATCTATGAGTATCCGGGAATTAAAGAGATCGACTTTGGACCCTCTCATGGCCAAACCCTAGGCCAGTAAGTGCAGAACTTGGAGGATTTAGTGTTTGATTTTCAAACAAGGGAGAGAAATCGGAGATTAAAACTTTGGTTGAATCCCAATGGATTCAGGACCAATGAGTTTTTGTAACAGTTAAATTTGTATTTTTAATTAATAATTTTATACCCAATTTAATTTATTAATAATTTTAATAGAATATAGTTTTTTTTTTGTTATTAATAAAATATTATATTAAATTGGTATATTTCTGTAACAGTTATTTTTTATTAATAATTTAATGACAAATATAATTTATAAATAAATTTAATAGAATATAACATTTATTGTTATTAATAAAATACTATATTAAATTTTATCATATAAAATAATTCAGAAGTCTACAACTGATACGTATCCGACGTGTTTTTTGAAAGCTTCCGGTAAGTCGGCAACTCTACTAAATAACATAGATGCCTCGAAATTTTACATAGCACAAAATTTAAAAATATAATTAATCTAATTTAAAGTTTATTTATTTTTTCGTAAATTTTTAATGTTAATATCATATTTAATTTATTAAATAATTAAATAAAAAATATTAATTAATTCTTGTTTAATTATAAACTTATTATAATATTAAATTACACATTATAATTTCAGTTATCATTAATTAATTTGATCTCTTTACTTTCTAATTAGTTTTTACATTAAGATTGATTTTTATATTTCTATATCGAGTTCGTACATTCCCAGTATAAGAGCAAATAAATCATACATCAAAATAAATCAATGCTAAGAATTTCTTTACAATGCAGTTCACCAGAAAACATAAAATGTAGCAGCCCCGGTAATTCAAAAAAATGAAAATTATATTATAAATATTAAATGCGGAAGCGAGATCAAAATTTCAGTTAACATCCCTTACATGAAAACCAAAAACGTACTTAAAGTATAAAAGATTAAACTAACTAAGAGAGAAACTCGAAAATAAAACTATGAGTATGACTACAGAGTCTCTAGGCATCCCCTTCGTCGTCCTCCTGCGGAACGGGCTCGGGAACCATGTCTTCCTGATATGAAATGGTTAAATAAGGAGTGAGCTATACTAGCCCAGTAAAAACGTCACGATATCTCACCGTCACGGAGGTAAAGGTGGGTAGAAAAATACAAAAGACCAATGGAGCATGATTTACAACAAATCCTTTTTATTTATGATAAAACCTTTACCATCCACTTACCTCGGTGGAATTCATGAAGCAATATAAGAAAACAATAACATTATCACAAACATGAAATAATATAAGCTGTAAAACATAGCACTTATCACGCCTTTTGTAATTCAATCATTATACAACATATCCTTTTCTCATTCACCAGCCTACTAGTATCCATGGGGGTCCATAGGGGTCCCGCTACCCGTTAACCTTTAACATTCATAATCAGTTTCCAGGGCCGTCCCCATACCCCGTCCGGTATGGGCGCCAAAACCATAAACCTCAATACCCCGTCCGGTATGAGGGTGAAACGGACCGTCCCCATACCCCGTCCGGTATGGGCGCCAAAACCATAAACCTCAATACCCCGTCCGGTATGAGGGTGAAACGGGCCGT